TGGGCTGGCTTGTGGTGTGTTGCTGACTGATAGGCCCTCAGGAAAGTTGCCTTCTGTTTTCTGTCTCCTATAGCAAAATAGAGACACCTAACCCCTTGTCCTATTATTGTCATTTCTCCCTCTGTTGCCCAGGGTGGCATGCAGTGCCACAATCATAGCTCACTGCAGCTTCCAACTCCTAGGCTCAGTTGATTCTTGGGCCTCAGCTTCCCGTGTAGCTGAGACTACAGGTACGCACCGCCACCCCCAGCTAATTGTTAGGATATTTTGAATTATCTCAGATTTATTCTTTGCTTTCTTTTTTCACTGCCACCGTGGTAGTTTGGGGAACTACACATTCACTTAGATTTTCGCAACAGTCTTCTCACCCTGTTTTTGCCAATTTATTGTCTATTCTTACCCAACATTTTCCCTCCCTTTTTCAATTCCAGTCAATGCTGGCCCCTGCAGTTGTCATGCTGACAAGTCTCCATACTTCACTTGTGCCCACACCTTTCTGTGCTCCTAAAAAATCTTGCCTCTTTTGCAAGAGCCAGATCAACTTCTTACTGCTCCATAAAGCCTTCCACAGTTGAAACAGCTCTTACATCTGTCTTATTTCACTACTCTTGTTTACAACCTGTACCAAATATTTGCTTGTTTTCTTCAAATGTGTTCAGTTGTTCCTACAAAATTGTAGAAATTTTTTTCCTACAAAAAAATCATGTTTCCTGGCTGAGTACAGTGGCTCACCCCTGTAATCCCAGTACTTTGGTAGGCCAAGGTAGGAAGGTTGCTTGAGCCCAGGAGTTTGAGACCAGCACCACCTCACTCCAGCTCGGGGCAACAGAGTGAGACTTCATCTCTTAAGTAAATAAATAAGTTTAGTGCTTGAGGTTTCTATTGGGAGCTGGTTCTGTACACCATGGAAATCTACCCCCTGCCCCACTTTAAAATTACTGTGTAATATTCCTTGGTGTGATTACAGGATGATCTAACTTTTCCCTATTGATTGGTTTTTGGTTATGATTTTATGCTGCAGTGTCTATCTTTGCACAGTTCCTTTTTCAGAGGCTTAGATTTGAATTGATGGATTATAAGATAGTGACATTTAAAAATTCGTTGTGAATAGATATTTCCAAATTGCTCACTAGAAGCTTAGTGCTAGTTCATACATATCCAATAGTGTGTACAAGAGTACCCTTCAGAAGGGATTAATTTTAATGATATTCAGTGCTGGGAATGTCGGAAAAATTGACCAGCAAGTGTCAGGAAGCACAAGAATAGGAAGGGGCATTCTCACCCCCAGGTGTACCCTGCCGCCTTGACAGGCCTTTTAAATAGAGACAGACTCTCACTAGGTTGCCCATTCCGTTCGCAAACTCCTGGCCTCCCAGACTGCTGGGATGACAGGCCTGAGCCACCATACCCAGCCAGAAACGCATTCTTGAACAGTACAAGTAAATCATTTGTAGTGGCTACTGGAAGATGTGGGCAAAATTTGAAGCTTAGCTTGATTTGTTGTGTGTAATGTACCATCCTAATCTTGATCTGTTTGTTTTTTCAGATCCAGATATTGCATTTCCCCTAGTCAATGTATGAAATCAACTTTAATATACAATTTACATACAGTAACATTTAAACGCTGAGTGTATAGGTGAATGATTTGAGAAATGTATACACCCTTGTAACTACAACTCCAATCAAGTTAGAAAACATTTCCATCTTCCTAGAAAGTTCCCTCAGTGTCATTGACTTTTACAGCCACCTCAAAGGTTTTATACATGAGATGCAGGACATAAGTCAAGTTCTGATAAAAGGGGAGTCTCGTTTTTACAGACGAGGTAGATTCATAGAACTTACAGATGTGAGGTATCCTGCAAAGTAGCCTTCAGGGCATGAATGATTGCTAATTGGAGTGTTGTCTTGGTGGCAAATGCATCAAACAGAGTGGCCCACTTAGGCCTTTCAGATCCATCAGCCCTTACTCCTCTTGATAGTTGTGGTAAATGATATAGTCTTAATTGAGTCTCTATGAACATTTAACTCCTGGAAGCTGATGTGTTTGGGCACAAGTTTTGTTTGTTTGTTTGTTTGTTTTTCAGTTGGCTTTCTGAAGGAGGAGATATGGGAAAAGGTATGACTGGTTGGCTGTGATGATGGTGTTGAAGAACAGAACTTACTCCCCTCTGTGCTTACAGTATCAACTGATACTGTGATATTTCCTCGAGAAGAAATGTGTGGTACATCTTTTAAGTACTAAGGGGGATATTTTTGGCCAGGAAAACACTTGCTAGTAACCTCATCAGAAAGTCTTGAAAATGAAGTTTGAGAAAGGACAAAATACTCCAGATAGAGACCAATAGATGGAGTAAAATTATAGTGACATAGAAGATCAGAAAAGGACATGTCTGTAATTCACAGCAGAACATGAAGAACAAATGCTGCAGATGCTAGATGTTTCTGAATAAGTACCTGTGATATTTTGACACAAGTAGGGTAAAGACAACCTTTTGGGTGCCACTAAGGACTGGTGAGTTGGGTTCATGACTAGGCAATCGAGTGCTTACTAGATAAGCTTTGTGCTAAGTAAGCAGTCCTAATTCTTGTAAAAATACTAAGACATTGACATGTATGGTCATTTGTCCCCAGTTTTTTCATGAAGAAACAAGAGACTGAAGAAGATTAAGTATTTTGAGCTAGTAATCAGCTTTTAATCTTGACTTCTGCATGTCTCGGGGTAGGTAACATGACAGTGGTGTAACCTAGTTGCCGTTGTTTACTGATTTTACTCTTCTGCTCTCGTATGCTGTGGCCGTGTTGCTCCTTGCCTTCCCTGGGTTTGTAATGTGAGTGAGCTTGTTCAGTCTTACTACCTCCTGCACACAGAATTCAAAAGAGAGTGAGTCACGGCCACAGTTGGCAGGAATCTGTTATGTTACTCCATTAGCCACATGACAGTTCTGCTTGTAACAAAATGACAGCGAAATATAGCAACAGTTATCATACTCTTCTTCCAGTTATCCTTTTAGCTGATTTTAGTAGTCCTATACTTTACTAAGTTTTTATCAATTGTGCATAATGTCATTCATTTCATTTTTCAGTGTCTGCATCTCCTTTCAGTCCGTTCCATCAGCAGAGCCAACTTAAATTTTGTTTAATCTCATTGCAGTGCACCTGTGGCACCCTTCCAGTTTTTTAGACACTTGCCTATCTTTCTCCTTTTGTCTTCTTCGACATCCCTACTGCCATATGCATTCCAGCCTGGATAAATAATGTGCAGCTTCCCAAATGTCTAGTTCATATCTCCAAACCTCTCCTTGTCTGCCTGATATTCTTAGTGTCCTCTCTGGAAAACTTCCTCAGGGCAGAGTTAGGTATTTTCATTTTGTGTGATGCTTTTCTTTAGGTAACTGGTGATTTTGGTTGTTGATACTGTGAATGAAGGTTTAGGGTCTAGACTTTAGGGTGATGACTATAGGTAGCTGGAGTGAATTTCTTCCACCTTTGCAAAGGTTTCTTTGCCCAGTTGACTCCTTCCGTGAATGGGAAGGCTGATCTGTGTGAAGGGTGTTGATTGGCAGGCTTTACTTTACTGTGTGATGGAGGGAGTGGCAGCAGCCTCCAATAAGATGGGCTTTATTCTGGGACAACCAAACCCATTCAAGCACCTAACAGACTCCTGTGGAAGGTTTTGTTTCTTTAGAGAGTATTTATTTGGCTTTAGGCTGCATTTAGAAGCAGCTACTACCTGTTGGCTGTGTAGGCATCTGAATGGAAAGTGGGTGGGTGGGGTTGAGTAGCTATGGCTTTTCTATTCCTTAGACAGTCTTTTTGCCTCATGCTTGCTTGCTCTGATCTTCTGGAACCTCTCTAGAGCTCCACCAGAAAGGATGGTACCTAAAACATCCATTTCAGACTGCTCTTGTGTTTATTCTTGGGTGGGGTGGCTTTTGCTTTTGCTTATCAGCTTTGAATAGAATAAAAAAGTAATAACCTTTTTCCCTGAAAGGTAATAACTTGTCTCCTGAAACACATTTGCCCAGTCTGTCACTTTGAAATCCTGAACCAGATGTTCTGTTGACAACTTTAACCATTTGAGATTTTAAAAATTTAAACAAACTAATATGAAGAATACATTAATAGGTCGGGCGCGGTGGCTCACACTTGTAATCCCAACACTTTGGGAGGCCGAGGTGGGCGGATCACTTGAGGTCAGGAGTTTGAGACCAGCCTGGCCAACTTGATGAAACCCCGTCTGTACTAAAAATACAAAAATTAGCCAGGCATGGTGGCGGGCGCCTGTAAAGTCCCAGCTACTTGGGAGGCTGAGGCAGGAGAATCGCTTGAACTCGGGAGGCGGAGGCTGCAGTGAACAGAGATCACGCCACTGCATTACAGCCTGGGTGACAAGCAAGACTCCGTCTCAAAACAAACAAGAGTACATTATTGTTCCCTAAGAATTGATAGAATACTTTGTAATGTTTGTGGAATATGAAATTGTTGTAATGCTGAAATACAAGTCACCTATTTATTATTAAGATTATTAAGTTATGTTCTAAAAATATTTACAGAGCTATTTAGGGCAAGGAAAACTAAAGGTAGCTTCCAGAAACCTAGGTGAGAGGGGATTGTGAGGAGGTCTCAGGCGTTGCCATTAGCTACTAATCGATACTTGGGGCCAGTAAGCAAGGTAACTCCAGCTTAAATGAAGTTTACATTCTAGGATTGGAGGAAATTGCTTGTTTCCCAATGTAAAATTTGCTAATTTTAGGTTTTCTTCCTTGATATGATATTGAGATAAAAGTTGTACTACTTGTGGCTTATTAAAGTGAATTGTACCATATAGTGGCTATATAGTTAGGGTTAGGTTGCAAGTTGCGTTTTATTTCAGTGAATGATAAAATAATAATTTGCCATGTCTTCTAATAAGAGTGAAAAAGTGAAAATGAACCTGTATGCAACATTATTTTTATCTCTCAATACATTTTGGGAAAGTTAATTGCAACTGTGTGGTTCAGGGATTTAGTGCAAGAAGAAGAACAGTTGATGGAAGAAAAGAAAAAGAAAAAAGACGACAAGAAAAAGAAGGAAGCTGCTCAAAAGAAGGTAGTATGTGTGTAAACTATTTATATTAAGCAGTTTAAACATAAAAAGAAAATTACTCTTACAGATTTTTAAGGCATTTATTTGATTTAATGTTTTAGTTTTAATGGAGATTCATTTTAATATTTAATGTCTTTGAATATGCATACAAAGTAACTTGCTGAGTTTGTACAATGTAATGCATAGTTATTAATCTTGCCAATAGTTTTTCAAAGGTAAGTACATTTTATAGATCTTTATCTTTCAAATAGCTGTTCCTAGGTGTTTCATAGTAATATCGTTTTATAAGTGGGAAGAGCATGGAATTTGTAGCCAAGTTGAGAGGATTTGAAATCTCACTCTCCCACATAGCACATAGAATGGTGTGACCTTAAATTTTATTTAGCCTCTCTGGGCCTTAGTTTCCTTGTGTGTTGTTAAATGAGGGTTGAATTAAGTGTTATTATATGTAATATAGAAATAGAGTATTAAAGGAAAACATAATAGACATAATAGGAAGTAAAGTGTCAGTTTCTTTTTCCCTCTTTATTTAGTACCTGGGCTGATTTTTAAAGTTTGCAGTGTACATTAACCTTAAAATAAACCTAGGACATTGTTTACTGCAAGGGAATTCTAAACTAGCTAATGTAGTATAGGAAACTATAACTAAATGCAAAGTAAGTTAAAAAATTTTTTTAAATCTGTAATTATTAAAAATTTTCCAAATTGTTAATACTAAAAGCTGATAATAGTTAACTAAATGGGCACTCATCTCCTACTATGTCAAGGTTTCAAGACATTAAAATGTTCTAAAAGACCTAGTGAAATTACTGTTTTAATTCTCTATTCTAACGAAAAATTATTTTGATTTCTTATATATGCCTCTTTTGAGCCACGCATTGTGCTAGGAATTGAATGTAGACTATAGCAAGATACTATAGTATCTTAAATAATAATGTCCACATTATTTAATAGGGGAAAACACAGGCTATAAAAGTGGCAGGTGAGGCATTTATGGGGAACTGTTGCAGTACAGAGAGAGAGGTGCATAACTCAGGCTGAGATGGGGCAGAGCAGAGAAATTTCCTTAGAGTTGAAATTAGGAGAATAAGGAGCAGAATAGAAAAGGATTCCAAACAGTGAAAACTCAGAAATACATGGTAGCCTGTATGTGTTAAAGGATGGGTTTTGCTTGGGGGAAAGGGAGGGTACCAAGGGTAGAACTCTGAAGAGTTGAGCTAGGAAAGGCTAGGAGGTTTTCTCAGGGCTTTGGGGAAAATGCTGAAAATGTTTTAGTAGAGTGACATAAAAGTTTGTATTTTAGTATGTTTACCTTGGAAAATTGTGGAATTGGATTAGAAGGGGTAGATACCAGAGTGTGAAATACTGGTGAAGGGACTATTAAAGTAACCCCCAGACTTTGTTTAAAGGATATAGAGGGAGAGTCAACTTACATTGATTCGCAGGTTCCAGATGAGTGACTACATTTGAGAGGAGTTAATCAGGCTGGAGGATACAAGGAAAGGGTAAATGATAAATAATTCATTTCTACATGTCCTGAGCCTAGGAGTGTCATCAGCAAGTATTAGGGAGGGGAATTAAGTATGAGATGAGAGGAGATAATGTGGCCCTAGACACCTACCTTTTGGTTGCTCTTAGGGGTGCCTGGGAAGGGATGCATAGGTATATGAAATGGTTAGGGTTTTGGTAGGCTTCTCATGGTTTGGCATTGACTGATGCCTTGGGCCTCTGTCAGAGGCTGTTTATGTAGGACAGTCTTTGCAGTCTGGTTGGTCATTGCTCGGGATTTCTTATGAGAAAGTTGTGTCCTCTGTAAATCTGAGTAAAGGTAAAGGGGTAAGGCTTATCAGACTCTTGTTCCATGGTGTGAAAGGCCATTCGTCCAATGAAAAGAGCTTCTAAGAAACTTAAGAGGTTTATTGAAAAGGATGCTTCGGTATACTTTATGTAGATTCAGTAGTTTGGCAAGCATCTGAGTGTTGAATTAGGCTCTGTTGGTCCCTGTGTCTAAGGAGTTCAAGAATTAGCTGATAAGTCAGAATGTATGTGAAATGGCTAGAGAAGAGGCCTAAGACAATATATAAGTGTATTTGTTTGGAATTTATTCTATTTACTGAGAAATTTTAAGAAAGGGGTCACTTGAATGATATCTTTAAATATTGTGTTTTTGTGAATATAATTTTAAAGTTGTAACATATACAGCAATGGCTCTACTTGTTACAAGTACGTCCTTACATTCTTGTATAAATTAAATCTCTAAATCACTAAGTCAGTATAGGTGGTCACTTATGTGTAGGCAGCTTATAAATAAGCCTCTAACACATGAATGGTGATTATTGTGCCATTTGACTTCTCACCAAATCTGAAGTGACAGCTTTTCTTACTGTTGCCCACTTCATTCCTGTCTCACCCCGTGGTTCCAGTCTCTCACCTCAACCATGTCCTTACTAGAACCATCATTCAGAAGCTTAGGGATATAAGAAGTTTTTCCTTCTTTTGCCAGATCTTCGGCACTGATAGGGTATTCCTGTGTGTGTCATAGACACATCAATAGTATCTGCCCAATGAACACAATATAAAGGAAGGTTTAATACCTCTAATAAATGTTAAGTTTAGCAGGCTAGGCCACTACTGTAAATTAGACTGTTCTCCAAATTTCAAATAATCAGCTTACAACTGAATTTGAATGCAACCTGTTGGTGAAGTGAGGACAGCTGGTATTTCCTTAGAGTGTTACCAGATAGCTCTTGAAAAGAAAAGAAAACCCCCAAATGGCACACTTTATAGCCCATATGAGGAATTGTGAGTCATAGGGTTTTTAAGACAGGTTTCCTGGAACTGTTTTTTTTTGTCTCTAGTAGGAGCCAGCAGGTGTATCCAGGCAGATATCTACATGAGCCAGGTGGGCAGGCCCATTTATATAAATGTTGGCATATAAACTCACTACAGTAAAAAGTCTATTTTATGTAATTTATATTTTCTTATTTTTGAAAAGGCCAGATATTATCTGTTCTAATACATTTGTTCATCTTTAATATAAGGAACCTAAGCATTAGAATGAATTAAGTGATTGACCTTGGTTTCATCATGGTGACAGAACCAGGAATATAATTGAAATTTCTCTCCTCCAGCTGGTGCTTTGCCAAAACCCTGTGCCATGACTTTATCCTTTTCATGCAGAACATTAGCTTATACGTTGCTTTGTTTTTTGTCATATAAAGGTGAACTTTAAAATTGGGAAATAATATATTGTGATAATTTTTATAATAGGGCATAAAATAGGTTCTTATGCCATGAGTACTGAAAATGCATACATTTAATAGTCCCCAGTAGCCACTGTGGTTTTTTTTTTTTAAATTAACACCATGGGTTATTTTCTATTTTAAATAAAAAGCCAGATAACATAACTTCCTATAAAAACAATTAGACACCATCAAGGCCTTCAACAGTATTTTCATTATGATAGTTTTTATTATCCTATCATTTAAATATTAATTTAAATATTTAGATTCTTTAAAAGAGCTTTTTCACGTTAAAAACGGTGATTTTTATTATATTTCAACCCCAATACATTTGTAATTAACATGGAGACCTATGACTTTTGTTTTTAAAGTTTTTTGAAAAGCCTTTTAATCAAAGATTATGTATAACACTCTTTTCTGTTTCATATCTAAGAATCAGGGTTGTTATTTTCTGATTCTTGGGCTTAGAAAATAATTTGATAGAGCATGGAAATGTAGGTTCTATACTTTAAAAAAAGGAGAGGGGTGACAGTAGTAGCAGTAGGTTACCATGGATTTCTCTCCAGGTTCTGTTTTTAGAAGAAATTTCTTGAAGGGATCTTAAGGGAAATGTAATGAGGAGGGAAATGGAGATTGAGAAATAGGTTAATTATAGAGGGATAGTTTAGTGTAGCCTTTACTTTAAGCATGCTGTTGTAGTTCCTAGAAAGCATGTAATGGTTGAGGGCCAAGGGGAACCAACAATACAAGTTGGGATCTTTTGGTGTTGAGAATGTTTCAACATCCATGGACTTTTTGCTGTTACTGTGTTAAGAGCTGAAGGGATTTTTACAGGTGTTATTGACTTGACTTAAATATACTAAATTCAAGTTTAAATGAGACCTAGGTTTTAGAGAGCTTCCAGCTTTATTGCCATTTTTGAGGATCATATTCAGCAGCTTCATTAGTAAATTTTCTCAGTAACCTTGGTGGTAACATGACCAGGCCTGAGTTGTGCTCTCGTCAAGGGCAGTTAGGTGTTCTCTTACAGTCTTGCCCCTTGTTGCACCTTACACTTCTCTTTTCCTCTTTTTTAAAACGCATTTTAGCCAACAGATCTGGATTCTAGACTGAGTGGTGATTGCTAAGTCATAGGAAAACTCTCTGAGCACTAGGTATCTCATTTAAAATCAGTGAATTGAACTAGATTATTTATTTATTCTTAATATCAGGTTATAATACTTGGCACTGTTAAGACATTGTAGATGATTAGAAAAAAAGAAAAACAAGACCTGGACACGGGATGAATGTAGAGTCAGCTTGTTTCCAACAGTGAGAGCCGGTACTGAGCCAGAGCACCGGCAGGTAGGGCTGAAGGTAGCAACCACCAGCGCCACAGCAGCAGCTGATGTCTGCTGGATGCTTTCTATATGTCAGGCTTTGTCCTAAGTGCTTTTATATGAGTTAAATCCCTTTAACCTTACAACTCTGAGGCGGGTGTTTTTGCCACAGTTCTATAGATGAGGAAACTGAGCTTTAGAGAAGTTAACACACTTGACCATGGTCACACAGTGTAAGTGGCAGAGCCAGGTAGGCGGTCAGGCTTTAGATCCTGAGGTCTTAACCACTGAAGTGTGCTTCAGGACCATGTTGTTGGGACAAGCAGTGCCTGACAGGCAAAGCAAGTGGAGTGTTGTGCTCTGCCACTGCACTGCTCTCTTCAGTAATGAAGGAGGCAGTTGTGATCATTGCTTGTGGAACCATGGCTCAGATTTTTTTTTTAAAGAATAATATATTAAAAATGGAAATCATTTTGCTTCTAGATTGGCCAGAATCTTTTAATTATCCGTGTGAGAGGATTTACAGTGATACTTCACATTTGAAGTGGTATTGTATAGTTTTTCAAAAAAAACTTTCACATTTTATTATTTGACCCTCCTAATAACCCTGAAAGGTAAGCAGGACAATTATTTTGTCCATTTGAGAGATTAGGAAACTGAGACCCAGAGGGTTTAAATGATCAGATCATTTCAAAGTGAAAACAACCAGTCAAGATTAATTTTAATATATTTTATGTAACCTAATATAGCTAAAAAGTTACTATTTTGACATGTAGTCAGTATAAAATATTATTAATAAGGCATTTTTTTTCTTTTAAAAATACCAAATATTAGAAATTTGGTGTGTAATTTGCTCATCTCAGTTCAGACTGGCCATATTTCAGTCAGTGGTCGGTAGCCACATGTGGCTAGTGGCTATTGTTTTGGATAGTGCAGACAATTACTCTTAAAATGACTGACCCTACCTCGAAAATTCTTTTTAATAATTTGAGTAATGTACTAGGTCTCTAGACCAGCCCGCAAAAACCTGTTTTAAAGAAGTGGAACTCTTAGTTCTGTTTCTTCCTATTCCCTGAAGAGCTCTTGGTTTCTGTAATATTACTTTCATTCCTTCTGTACATTAAATCCGATTCTTAGGGGGAGACACACCTTAGGTGTCTCTATGGGGCCATTCTCTGTAGATGACAGAATACTGAATGAGGCTGACCATTGTTTTGAAGCAACTTTTTCCAAAGAAGTTTTGTAGCATATATCCTTTATGTTGTAAGGCCTAAAAGAGCAACACTGTATACTTTGTTTTGTTTTGTTTTTTTGGTAGAGACGGGGTTTCGCCATATTGGCCAAGCTGGTCTCAAACTCCTGGCCTCAGGCATCTGCCTGTCTTCTGCCTCTCAAAGTGCTGGGATTACAGGCGTGAGTTGCACCTGGCCTACTTTGGGTTTTCATGTGGTTATTGTTTCTATGATCTGAATTTTTTTTTTTTAAGCCTTTCAACATGTAAAAGAAATTTTCTGCTAATTCTTTGGCTTCAGAAGATTATGCATCTTATTGTTTGACAGACATTTCTGATACCTAAAAGTGTTCATATACTAATTTCTGTCTAATAAGACTTGTTTTTCTACTCTCAGATTTTAAAAATGATTTTTCCAGAAACAAAGAAAGTGTTGTTAGCTAGTTGACTGGTTGTTTGGCATTGTCTTTCCATCAAAAAAAATTTTTTTTTAATTTAAATTTTGATCCATAGAGTAAAAGATGAGCCTCCATTATTTTGTATTTCACTAGTGCTCTAAAACTTAGCAAAGCACTTAGGTGGTGGATTAAGACTCCCTGGCTTTCTGGGGAAAGATTAATGTTTGGTGTGGCTTCAATATTAGGGTAATTACTATAGCTTTTACCATATATACCTATAATAGTATAATTTAAAATGGTATCTTTGATAACAGTAATTTCATATAACTAAGCAAAATGAATTATGCCCCATGGCAGCTAAGAAAAGCTTTATCGCCATTTAGAAACAACTCCTGGTTATTCAGTTACATAGTCATTTCTCACCTGCCTTCCTGTTCTTGTATCTGTTATTTTCAGGATTCCTATAATATTGATTTTGATCAACAGGTTGATTTTTTGCTTGGGCTTTTCTGTCTGGTTCTTTTTGAGGCCCTTGGGAGTTTGAGCTAGTCACCTCGAGGCAACCCTGCTGTCCTCAAGCCCCTCTCCTCAGTTTTGGTGTCAGAAAATGAAGAGCAGACATTGGAAGGCAGTGAAAGCAGAGTTCATGTCAGTTCAGCTTCTGATCACAGTAATTTTAACGGATTGTCAGATGTGTCAGAAGTGATAAATTAGTTTGAAATTTTTTTCCACTCAGAAATACATAGGTACTTAAAAGTTGACTAAGTTTAATTGCAATAGCAGCCTAACCTCCAGGAGTTAATTTTATTATTAATTTGGCTAAAGTGATTACATACAGCTTTTCTTACAGAAAACTTAATTCATCTTTTTATCACTTGCAACAATTTTTGAAGCCATTTAAACATACAAAATATATTAAATCCATTAAATGTAAAGGTGACAGTTTATATAAAAATCATTTTTAAAGGACATGAGAAAAGTGCACCTCTCATTTAAAAAATTATATACTGTCATACAGTGATGTCTTCTATGCTTAGTGTCACAAAAAGTAGGTTTTTAAAATTAATAAACACAGTATCAGGGATAATGGGGCACATCTGTGGGAAAAGCATGCTTTCCTTGCATATCTTTTCCTGTGCAGTTCATCTGTTTGAGAAATTCCTCATTTAATAAAGGTATATATGTCTTATAGTAATATATGAACATTTTGTCATAACAGTCCATTTCTTTCAGTTTCATATTTACATTGTTTTTTGTTTGTTTGTTTTTATTTTAGGCCACTGAACAAAAAATCAAAGGTACGTTGTTTAAAGCTATTTTTTATCCCTTTTTTCATTAAAGCAAGGTTGTTTATATGCATTTTTATTCATCTCAAGGATGGGAGAGAGAAGAGCATGAAAGAAACGGGTGGGCTCAGACTTCTTCAGTGACATACCTTGGGGTCGTCCTTTGGGGTTTCATGGTTATTGTGGTGTATGTCACCACAGTTACAGTGCACTGCCTCAGAGCTGCCTTAAAGCTGTCTCATAGGATAAGAGTAAGCACTGCTTCCTAATGTACTCCCTTGTTTTGACTCTTGGGGCACAGGCACCTTTCCTTCAGTCTTCCTTCTAAAAGTCTTCTTGTGTGGGGTAACCTCTAGGACCCCACTCTATCCCTTGGGAGTTCTGCCTCATTTATATCTTGTTCTCTGAAGAATGTCCCCCATTCCTTCTTATAGGCAGCTAGTGACATCCATCTCTGTGTTATCACTTAGAATAGTAGATTGCAAACCTTATACATTGTGTCGGGTTGAACAGCACCCATTAGACCCCAAGCAAAAGACACTGGAGTGATGAGGAAACAGGAGACTACTTCCTCGCAGGAAACAGGAGAGTAATTCCTCTCAGATCCTGAATCAGGAGTTCTTCACCCTCCCAGGAGTTGACTACTTGGTAATGAAAGGTGTAAAGCTCTCAGATGCTGAACTTGTTGGGCCTTAGGATTCTGAATTTTTATTTTAAACTCTATCAAAAGTATAATCTTACCCCTCAAAAAAAAGATGAATGAAGGAATGAAATGGTTCAAAGAGGAATGAAATGGTTCAAGCATGATTCAAGCAAAGAGATAAGAAATAACATGATGTGGCTTACAGTAGTGGTATTCCATAACATGATGTGGTACGCAGTGGTGGTATTCCTAGAGTGTTAAATACTCAGTGATAAGTGGGCAGGGTTGAGGCTGAAAAGATAGGTATGGCCAGGTAAAAGTGGGTTAATTTATTTGCTGTTTGTACCAACAAGCTTGGACTTTTTATGTGACAGGCAGTTAGGAGGCATTCAAGACTTAAGCAGAGTGACATGGTGCTTTGTTTCACTTTGCTTTCCATTTTTTAAAGCTATCAACTATTGTACATGGAAAGTATTGGTTAGAAGACAGGTAGGGATTTGAAAGGTAGAGCTAAGAGAAGAAAGGCATTATGAGCAGAGGAGGCAGGTAGACAGCATGGGGAATACAACATGCATCTTTTGTCTCTAGAGTTGGGGAGGAAGCGACCGAATATAGGCTTGGAGATAGAGGGAGCCACAGGGTTTCAGGCTGGTTAAGCCAGCAAAGGTGTTTGGATTTGGAATGTCATGTTCATAAGCTGTGCTTTAGAAACTTAACTTTGCCAGTAGTGCCTAGAGTCACCAATAGAAGCGAGATTAGAGAGGGTCATGAGGGTTTGAACTGAGGTCTTGGCAGAAGAGGTAGAAGGTGGGTGACAGATGTGTGAGGTATAATTGACAGGACTGGCAACTGTGATGAGATCAGAAGAGGAATTGAAGGTGCTGTTGTGGCTTTGAACTTGGAATGTCTAAGATAGTTACAAGGATGTGGAATGTAGGGAGCAACATTGCCAAATTAGTAGGAATGTTACCAAATTAATTTTCCTAAAACTCTATTTTCCCCACCCCTCTCCCCCACATAGCAATGGTAAGTTGTCCCTAGTTATTCTTGCTTCAAGACCAAACTCCTTTGCTTAGCTTTCAAGGCCCTCATTAATCTAACCTCCCTTGACCTAACCAGCCTGTTTCTCATCACTCTTTATACTTTTTAGAGCATTCTTATCTCTTTCATGTTCGTTCTTGTTTCTTTTTTATCCAGTTTCTCAGCCAAGGATGTCTTTATCAGGCCTTTCAGGTTTCCTAAACCTCTCAGAGTTCATCCTCGAATGGGTCTCTCCAACTACCATAGATATCTCCCTTTCCAGTTTCTTAGGCTTTTATAATCTCAAATTTGGGCACTTGCTTATATTCTTAGATTTTTGACTGATCCATGGATATTTGTTTCTTCAACATCTTTGAGTACCTAGTGTTTATATCATTTGTAAATGTAAGTACTTTTTTTCTAGCCTTACATAAAATATGAACATTTTTAGTCTTCTTGTTTTTGTTTTAGATATTTCCACAACTCTTGAGAATGATAGGCTGAGTATATGAAAGTCACTTCAGAATACATTTTGTTGTTTTGCCAGTGATTTCACTCACGTCATCCTTCTTTTCACGGTGTCTCTCTTCATAGTTGTTCACATTTTTTCTGATTCATGGAAATGTGTTGTTTTATTTCTGTGCTATGTATTTGTCTAGGTAGTATTTATAGTTTGAGGTTCACACAGTGGTTAGAGATTACAAACTGGAGACTTGAGGGGCAAATGTGGCCCACTTGGTGGTGGTGGTGTTTACTAAACTGTATTTTGAAATAATTTTAGATTTACAGAAATGTTGGAAAGATAGTACAGAGACTTCTCATACACACTTCATTCAGCTTCCTCCATTATTAACATCTTACATTAGCATGGTACATTTGTCAAAACTGAAAAACCAACAGTGATGCTAACCTCACCAGTTTTTCCATTAATGACTTTCCATTCTAGGATCCGATGCATAATGCTACCTTGCATTTAGTTGTCAGGTCTCCCCAGTCTCTGGTTTCTGCACTGTTTTTATTATAATCCTGTACATTTTAAAATGACTGCCAACATTTAAAAATCAGAAGAGTCTGCCTATTCCAGAATTGCTGCTTCTCTTGCAGTTTGTACTGTCAATATGATTTTTTCTCTTTCTGTATTGTAGAGTCTGTGTAAAGACCAAGTTTAGCCATATGTGGCCGTCAAGTACTTGAAATGAGGCTAATGTGACTGAGGAACTAAATTTTTAATCTTACAGGGCAACATAGCTCTGAAGTATAATGGGCAACATAATGACATTCTTGAAAGTTTTATTCTTGTGACTTCAACTTTGAAAAACTGTGAAGAACATAAATATTTGAATATTCAAAAAATCTTTTAAAATATGTATCTTACGAGTATGTCCTTGAAACACCAGGAGAGTGAAGTGCTAAAAAACTTCTGGTGAGGTATAGGGATAGATGGATACATTTTAAGATGCCCTGTGGTATATATAATGTAAAGGCAAGGAAAGAGCTAATGTCCCTCTTCAGAGTGTCCTTGGGAACTTGGTTGAGAATAAGAAAATTTTTTAAAAAGTTTTTCAACTCTGACATTGACTTTTTCTTTTTTAAGGAGACAAGGTCTTGCTCTGGAGTGTAGTGCACAATCATAGCTCACTGCGGCCCTGAACTTCTGGGCTCAAGCAATCCTTCTGCCTCCTGAGTAGCTGGGATTACAGGAGCAGGCTATTTTTTTTTTTTTTTTTTTTTCTTTTTTTAAATGTGATGATGCTGTGTTACCCAGGCTGGTCTCAAACTCTTGGACTCACATGATCTTCCTGCCTCAGGCTCCTGAGTACTTGGGAGTATAGGCATGAGCCACCACAGCTGGCTGACACTGGCTTTCTTGGGAAGCATGTTGATTATACATTCCTTTCAAAAGAGTAAGTAAGCACTGTTGATTTTTGACAGCTAATTTTCTTTCTCTCTCCTCTCTTTTTCCTCTGTCTCTTCCGCTCCCTGTCTCCTTCATATCAGTGCCAGTGCTTTTTTTGAGTGATTTCATGAGCAAGGTATCTTCCAAAGAATAACAAACCCCTGAGCTCCTAAGGGAGTTGTGGGAAGCCCGGGGAGATCCTGGTGGGAAACAGCAATGGAGAAAAAAGGATTAAGATTTTATTTTTTGGGTGATAAATAGCGAAGTTTAGTTTATTACTGCCGTTCTGTTTCTGGGTTAATTAAAAACTCATGAAATTGAATCAACATTTACGCATTTTTTTTCCTGCCACAGTTGGCACAGTTATTTTTATCAGTTCTAGCCTTAATATTTGTTTTTCTATCAAACACTGTTATTACATCTGGATGATAAAAATAAATCAGCTGCATGTCAAATCATATTGTAGACATTAGAGAGCTGACTTAGAGCCCTTTCTATGTGCCAGGCACTGTGCTTTATTTCATTTAATCAAGGAAAATATTCTAAATATTTAACCACTAATAATGAATGGGTATCAGCAATTCAGAACAAGGTCCTAAAAGCTTCTTAATGTGCTAAGAGTTACTTTAGTTACTGAATTTTGGGAATCTGTGGGATCCAGGGCAGGGTCCATGGCAGCAGGTTGGGTACTCTGGGACTCATGTAGTCTATATTTAAAAATTGATATGGGAGTAGGCCTTCAGTGTATACTAGCACAAGGTAAGTTTACGTTTAATCCTCTCAGCAGCCCTTTGAAAGTAGATATTAGCACCACTTACAGGTGAAATTGAGGCTAGGAAAAGTTAACTAACTTGCTCAGGTTATGCAGCTAACAAGTGCCTGAGCCAGAATTTGACTACGAACTTGACTGGGCTCTGCCGCTTCTGTTTCTTTAAAAACAGCGGCTACAGTTACATGGAAGACAAGATGTGAAGGACACACTATTGCTCATGCTGCAACAATAGTCACTGAGGGAACTAAAACAACTCATCTTTTAAAAGGAATCCAGAAAGATCTTGGAACAGATTTTATAGTATTTCTCTATTGATTAAGCATATAGAATTTTTTTTAAAAAAATTGTAGCACCAGTATAATTTTGTGAATTAGGGGGAATTTGACAGCTTTGTGATGGGTGAGGCATTGGCTCTTAAATTGTTTGTTACATCTTTGGTTGTTGATGAAAATGAACAAGAGTTTTGAGAGCCAAGCAAGCAGCTGATTCTGAAACCTCCTGCATGCTTTGATCTCTATGCAGTAAACACTGATCCTTCTGTGGAGCAAAACCAGAGTACTAAATTATGTTTGAAGTGTTTTTTTGCTACAACTGTAAGGGAGATGTAATGACAGTTTTGCTAAAAAAGAACCCTTCATTTCATCATTCTTCAAAGGGTGGAGGACCCTTTCTGAGGGACT